AAGGAGCAGCTTCATGACCTGATGTTTTACTTGGACGCTCAGACTAAAATTAGTAACGCATCGGATGAAACCAGACAAGAAATTCAAGAAGGTCAAATAGTGATGGGAGCTGCAGCGGCTTCGCCGGATGTCAGCAAGTCACATTCCCGGAAAGGAAGAAAAAAAGGAAGATAGGCCTTCATTGTCTTCTGCCACTGTGGGTGCTGTTATTATGAATGTAGAGCTTTATGTATTCTGCCACTGGATGTGCTGTTAATATTCTGGGGAGCTTTATATATTCTACCACTGATGGCGCTGTGTTAGTGAATGGTTAAGACAGTCATTGTATAGACTACTTTACAGACACAATATAATGTACATAAATAGTGGTTAAATACCCTATGTTTCATAAGTCATCATGAATTCATAGTAAATTATTGTAGAATACTTTATTTTCACTTGGTATTAATTTTCGCTATTTTCACTGAAGGAATAATTCAGTGAAAATAAAATCTAGCAAATATACCTTTTTTCCTATATTTTACATTCAACTTGTCAAAAATTAATGCAAATAAATTGCATACCAAAACACCCAAAAAGTCTTTTCAGCGAAAATTAATTACAGCTAAAATAAAGGATTTCACAGTATTGGTAAACAAAATCTTCTAAATTGCTGTGATTTCATGAAAACACTTTTCAGCGGAACAACAGTTATTTGTTGAAGAGTATTCTTTCTAGTGGTTTACTATAGAAATCATTCCTTCAGTGAAAATAGCGAAAATTAATTCCAAGTAAAAATAAAAGTATTTTACAGTATAAGATGAAAATGTATTCATTGTAAACAAATTAACGGTACATGTAATTAAGAAATGATACTCATTTGAAAAAATATCAGATTGCTTTATAGTTACAAGATGAAGCAAACTTTGATTGACTCAAATCGCGATCACGCCTGGTTTTTCTCTTCACAATGGCATCACCGTATTCCCAATATCTTAAAGGACGGTAGTCGTCGCACCATGCATGCGTAAGATATATGGGTCTCATATAAACAAAAATGGCGACTTTGACTGTTGCGCAGACCCACGAGTACAAACTGAGGCGTTACCAAGCTTTTAAGTAGATAATAATTTCTTTGGTTATTGCAAAAATCACGGGCGGTTGCTAGTGCACGTTGCGCCAGGTCAAAACTCGTACCATTGATGTCATTAGAAGAGCGAAGTGGATTGTTGGAAAATCCATGTTTATCAACACAAATGCTGCACATGCGCAGCGTGACGACCACCGCCCTTTAACGTTGTTTGGGATGAATTTAAATTTTGTACTACTGAGCGTGTTACTGCTCATATATGCAATGCATTATGGTCAGCCTCTAATTGTATACAAAGAAAACCATTGAAACTCACTAAATTATATGTCAGTTTCTAGAAATAATTTCATATCATTTCATCCCATGTCATCACTGATCAAAATTAGAATAAATAGAAACCAGTGTAAAAATGATAATTTTGTCCATTTCACTTGTATGTACATCTTAAAAAAATTATACAGTGACCCCCTTTTTTTTCATTTTCGGTATTCTTGTGGTATTAACTCGTAATAATAAAAGTATGACAAACATAACATATAAAATTTGGCTCAAAACTTTCTGTAGCTGGACATCGTTGATGAATATTTGGCTCAAAACTTTCTGTAGCTGGACACCGTTGATGAATATTTAGCTCGAAACTTTATGTAGCTGGACATCGTTGATGAATATTTGGTACAAAAATTTCTGTAGCTGGACATCGTTGATGAATATTTAGCTCGAAACTTTCTGTAGCTGGACATCGTTGATGAATATTTGGTA